AGGGCTTCGCCTTTGATAAATCCTTTTTTCACGCCTGGAGCGTGACAGGAGGAAAAATGCGTGTATTGAAATGTCTCAGTCGGTTTAAAGTGCGTACGGATGTCAAAGATTGAATCTTTGTAGAATCTCTCGCCTTTAAAGATAGTAGTATCTAGGAAGTTTGTTTTCTCTTCTGATATTTCAGCCGTGAATTTTATGGTAGGATGGTGCCTGTTTGCTTCTAAAATGAATTGGTCTATTTCCTCTCTGTTTGTGTCCCACAGGGAGAACACGTCATCGATGTATCTTTTCCACTCGAGGGGTTTTATCTTGCTTTTATTGATAATTTCTGTTTCTACCGCGGACATAAAGATGTTGGCAAAAGCAACTGCCACTTTTGTTCCCATTGCGGTACCATGAGTCTGGAGATAGTTTCTTCCATTGAACTGGAAGGAGTTCTCCTGTAGTATAAGTCTAAGCAAGCCTATGAGTGAATTTGTAGGAATGGGTGTGTCGTTCTTATAGAAGGCTTCATATGCTATGCATACAGTGTTTATTCCTTCTTCTTGAGGAATATTGGTGTACAGGCTGGTAACATCCATTGAAACTAGGATCGCGTTGTTTGGAACTTTCCTCTTTTCTATAAACAGCACAGTTGGTCGAGCGCCGGTTAAAGCTAATTCGGGGTTAAATTTTAACCTGGGTTTCTTTTTCTTTTGATCAAAAGCACTCTCTTGGAAAATTTTCTTGATTCTTTTTAGAGTATCCGATCATCAAATATAATTGTAGGCAAAAAGAATTATACTGAATTTACTTTTTAAGCTCTCATATGTGAGTTTATTGTATCAAATGACGTCATTTTGGCGCGAACTATTTGCGTCCCTATTTAAAAAACGAATGATGTTAAACGGAAAAACAGTCACGGATGGGTGACACTTGTACTTCAATAGCTGATGAGGTGATGTTCGGTGAAGAAATATCAAAACTGTGAAAAGTTTTTTTTTCAAAGTATGTCAAAACAAACACATA